GGGAGAGGAGGTTGCGGGAAGGAGGGGGCAACTGAGCCCAAAAAGACACACAGGCAGTGAGAGGCATAGGAAGGGAGGGCAGAAAGAACATTCTGGAGGACAGGAAACCACAGACGCAATGTAAGAAATCTCATCTTTGCAAGTAATTATGCTGGAGGTCATTAAGCAACTTCCTGCACGAAGCTAGAAGGGCAGTAGGTATTGTGTCCGGCGAGCTGATAATCTTGCTTCGTCTTGGTTTAAAAGGTGGAAGAGCACAGGGGAGAAGGCCAGGATCATGGCCCTTTGAGTCAGTTCCCCTGAGCTGTGGACCCGAGACAGGGCGGACAGACACCCCAGCGAGGGGGTGGCCAGAAGTGCCTGGAGGAGCAGAGCCTGGCTGGATACTGCCTGCCCCGCCCCACAGCAGGGAGGCCCCGCCCCCAGGTCCTCCCACTTCTCTCCATACTGGAAGAACGCCACTCCCAGCAGCCAGCTAGACTCCCCAATACCACCTTGTCCGTCTCTGCTCCGGGGGCAGTTGGCTGTAGTTCCGGCTGAGAACGAGTAAGTTGGGACGGGAGGAGCAGATTCCTCCATGTAGGGTTACAGGGAACCATATATCACCTCCTGAAGACATGGGATGTACAAAGCACAGATCTTTGTGGAACACTGATCTATTCTTCAGGTTCACCCCTCAGGTTTAGAAAGGAGGTGGTGGTTCCACCACAGCCTCCAGCCACCCAGCATCCTGAGCTAACATACGGGACTTCCAGGTCCTCATGGTGGGTTCTGAACCTCTCATGTCCCCCCACAGTGTCCCTCCAAAGGTCCATATCTTGCATTCTGTTTTGTTTCCTAATGGTTGGCAAATATTTAATTTGATAAGGCAGTGTTATAAAAGGCCTAACATGTTAATGGATTAATGTACTATTATTGTCAACTGACTCTCTTAGTCAGAGATTTTGCCCGCCCAGAGCAGGAAGTGACTCTAGGCATATAGTAGATGTCACTTACAGAAAGGACTGGCAGAGCGTGGGCAGAAAGAATAGATTAGGCTGCTGTGGGAAGCATGGCTGAGCAGAGGTGACTCTTGGAAAGAGGTCTTGGTTATCACCCCGGGGGCTCTGGATGCTTGGCACTGTACTCTGGGACTTGACTTGGCTGTACTACCTGCAGATAATCTCCAACTGGCCTGGGCCTCTGGTCCTGGGCTGTAGCATTTGGTTGGAGGACCTTTCTAGGTCTCTCCAGCTTTCTGGAGGTAGGGAAAGACCATCCATAAATTCAGTTTCTGTGGTAGAAAGTAGTGCCCTTTTTCCTATTTTAGGATTCTTCCAAGATAGGAAGAGTGTTCTATGTGGGCAGCTCAAAAGAACAACTGTCCACTAAAATAATATGGTGAATATTCAGAAGGGCCTCCCAAGACAACACCCGAATCCAAAAGAGTGCCTCTCCTGGAGATTTCAGGCACTACCATGGTGGATGGGGAGACTTGTTTGAGTGATGGACGGAAGTGCTGGGAGTCAAAGTTCATTTCCTTTGATTATAGATCCAAGTGCTGGTGATGCACTGACCTCATTAAGTACCTTGCACACAGCTGATGCTCAACCAATATTTGTTAAATGAATGAATGAATTGTTGGGTCTTTCAGTATGTAACCACCTGCCCCAAATACATCAAGAAATGAAGCAGGATAGAATTATCAATCAATAAAATAAAATCTGAGGGCCCTGGGATAAGTTATTTCATCGCTCCCACACCTTACTCTCCTTATCTTGCAAGTTCAGAAGGTTAGCCCATCTCTAAGAATTTACCTTGGAACAAACTGAAAAAAGAATTTTTGTCGTCTGTAAGACAATTAGAAATTTAAACACTGACCTGATAATTTGATGATGTTAAGGAATGGACTGTTAATTCATCATTGTTTAAGAAGAGAAATGATAATGGTTTGGTTTTTAAAAGTGCCCTTCAACATGGTTGGACCAAGAGGGCATCATGCCAGGTGAAATAAGCCAGACAGAGGAAGACAAATCCCATATGATTTCACATATATGTGGATTCTACAAAACAAAACAAATGAACAAACAATAACAACAACAACAAAGCAGAGAAACAGACTCATAAATGTAGAAGACAAGCTGGTGGTTGCCCAAGGGAAGGTGTTGGGGGGGGTGGGTGAAATGAGTGAAAAGGATGAAGAGGTACAAGCTTCCTGTTATAAAATAAATAAATCACAGGGATAAAAAGTACAGCATAAAGAATATAGTCAATAATATTATAATACTTATTATTATAATGCTTATTCTGGTGAGCATTTTGTAATGTATATTAGTGTTGTTGAATCACTGTTACACACCCAAAACTAATTTTTTATGCCAACAATACTGCAATTAAAACTGAAAAGAAAAGAAAAGAAAAGAAAAGGGTTCTTGTCTTTTAAAGATACATGCTGGAATAATTTTGGATGAAATGATACAATATCCGGAATTTGCTTCATAATGAATTAGAGCAGGAAAGCAGGTCGGAAAATAGATGAAAAAGGCCCTGAGTTGATCATTGTCAAGACTTAGCAATGTGTACGTGGGGGTTGGTTGCATTGTTTTGTCTACTTTTTATATGTTTGAAAATTTCCATACTGAAATGTTTTTTTTTAAAACTCACAGTTCTCTTTTCCTGCAGTTCTTGTGGTGCCCATCCGAGCCAGAACTCGTGGTGGACCCTGGTAGTTGCCGTCCCAACATCTCTGGCTCCCTGGCTCTTTCTTACAAGAACCTTCAATTCTATCCACGTGTCCACTCTTCCACACAGCCCCTGTGACTCAAGGCAAGATGACCCCATCCCCACCTCTAGCCCGAATTAGTCTCAACAGATCAGGACAAGCCTGCTAAGTGAAATAAGCCACACAGAGGAAGCTATCTGACAACATTCTCAACTAGTGAGTGCTTCTGGAAGGACAAGGGATGAAGGAGAGCTTTGCCGGGACTCCCAAGAGGTTCCTTCCTACTCTTCAAGGGCCGCTGGAAGCATTTTTCTCCTGCTGGAAGGAAGCAGATGGCCCCAAATGCCCAGCAGCCATGCTGCATCCTAGAGGAAACCAGGCCCAGGAAGAAGCCAACATGCTGAACAGCAGAGTGGAGAGATGAAAAAAACCCAAGTCCCTGATAAGCGTCTTGAACTGCTGGATCAAACAAGCCTGAAGTCCACCCTCTCTCATGATTCGCCGTTACATGGTATAATAAACGTTCTTATTTTTTTTTTTTTTGATTTTTACAACCAAGAGTATTTATAACCAAGAGAATCTTAACAGAATCAATGCTCAGGGAATACTCATCTTGACAGCAGTGGAATGGGGACTGTGCTAAAGGGAGGGATTCCCGCCCCCCCACCCCGCAGTCACCACCATTGTTTGGGATGCAGGAAGCAGTCAGTGAAGGAGAAAAAAGAAGAGCGGTGGTCAGAGGGGTCTTTCAGAAGGTGAAGACATTGTCATACCCTCTACCGTTTTCAGCCCAGATAGACCATTCTTCCTAATGTCAGGCCAGCCTGCTTTGAAAGATAGTCCCCTAAAGCTGCAGACACAGATCAAGGGTCACCTTTAGGAAAGTTATGCCCAGCCCATGCTGCTGTGGATTGCCTTTGGAATATGATGGTGCCCATTCCTTGGCAGAACATTCATCACAGAAATTATGCAGATCTGCTTTTATTGTCACGGGATGCGGAGAAGAGCCCCCTGTGGAGGGCTCTGCCTTTCCTCACATGTCAGAGATGGAATTGCGGGTCTTCTCCTCATCCAAGTGTTCTCCCTTCCTTCTCAAGTAGATTGGAATCCAGTGGATGGTGCCCTTGAATGGAGCCCGGCATGATTCCTAAAGCAGGGAGTGTCTCCTCAGTTTCCACTGGGAGCTGGTGTTGAACAGTTCCACCCTGTTACTCCTTGCTCTGTCTCCTGTCGATTCATCCTCCCCTTTCCGCCTTCTCTGCCACAGCCCCAGTGCAAATCACTGCCACCTGTCACCCGAGCACCGACTGCAGTGGCACAACATCTCCCTGAGTGGATTCCTGCCGCTTCCCGACTCCACTCTTCCTGCAACTGCTAGAGTGATCCTTTAAAAAGCAAATCTGATGGCATCTTTTCCTTTCCTAGAACCTGTCAGTCTCATTCCACTGCCACTCGTGGTCTCCACGCCTCTGCCTGCCTCCCCTCTGCTCTTCCCTCCATTCCAGAATCCTGGACATTCTCTTACCTCAGGGCTTTCCACATAGGCTGACCCCCTGGATTGGAGCCGTCTGTACCCCATCCTTCCATCTCATTTGCACATAGGCAACTCCTTTAGGTCTTATCTTTTTTTTTTTTAAAGATTTTATTTATTTATTTGAGAGAGAGAGAATGAGAGATAGAGAGCATGAGAAGGAAGAGGGTCAGAGGGAGAAGCAGACTCCCTGCTGAGCAGGGAGCCCGATGCGGGACTCGATCCTGAGACTCCAGGATCATGACCTGAGCCGAAGGCAGTCGCTTAACCAACTGAGCCACCCAGGCGCCCCTCCTTTAGGTCTTATCTTAATGTCACCTTCTTGGGGAGAATGTTTCTTACTCTGTCTCTCACCCCCAGCCAAGTTACATCCTCTTTATTTGCACCCACAGACCTTGTCCTTCTCCCTCAAAATATTCAATGTAATTGGAAACTTTGCTTAACATCTCTCTTCCCCATTAGATTTGAAGCCTAAAGAGGGTAGAGATTTTGTCCACATTGCTCCACAGTCCATCCCAAGGACCTACCACAATATCTGGCAACATAATCAATGATTAGTAAATACATATCGGTTGGCTGCCTATCAGGTGTAGCCACTGCTGAGGCCCCCCAAAAGTACGGTCCCAGGGCCCCTGCAGACCCCGTTTGACCTCTTGTACCCGTGGAACCTCACACCTACCAAGTTCCTGCTCTAGAGGACAGAGCACGGAAAGGGACAAACGTAGACAGACTAGAGTCCGATTTGGAACCTGAAAGCGATGTTGTTGCCTTAGGGAGAAAATGGCTTATTAGAATTCAGGACATTCCCCTCCCAAGTACACTTGTTTCTTACTGTTTGCTTTAAAATGTTTTGTGTGACTCAGAGATACAGACTAAAAACTTGAAACAGAAAGTGAAGGCTGAGAGGAAGAAAAGTCAGAGCCATTTCCTGTTCATGGGCAGTACACACCACAGGGGAGGGTGTGCTTGTCCTCCTGCCTTGGCAATAAGTGAAGCCTTGAATGTCTCCACATCACATCAGTGCTGTCTCCTGGACTGCAGGCAGAGGGCCGGTGGGAGAAGCCACAGGTATGATGTCCAGGGGGTGGGGACCGCATGAAACACCATGGCTGGGAGCTGCTTGTTCCTCTCCCTGGGACACTGGAGTAGCTCAACTTCCTGAAAGGAGATGTGACAGGGGTGGAGGGGATGCACTCTTCTTCCTCCATGCAAGGCTGTCAGACTTCCCTTTTCGGGATTACATAAGCCTCATCTCCACTCTGGGCAGGAGAATACCCGATTTTCTTCAGAGTCAGCCACAACCACTAGAAATTCATTGCCAAGTGTCCCTCTGGGAAAATCATGGAGTCATTTTATCCTAGAGTCAGATGAGGAACAGTTGAGACTGTTCTGTCAGGAAATGGGTTTAGTTGAGGGTGAAGAGAATCCAGTGGCAGTTTCCTGGACCCAGTCAGGTGCCTAAGGCATCACTGGACCCAGTCAGGTGCCTAAGGCATCATGGCTTCCTATAGGTGGGCTTGGCCTCAGGGGCTCCGGAAGTCTGCCTTATTGGAGATGGGGAAAGCCAGAAGGTGGGAGGCATGGGGATGGTTTTCAAAAGGTACAGCGGTGGTGAGATGCAGCAAGCCTAGGCTTGAATTCAGGCCATGCAACTGAGAGCTCTCCACCTCTTTGAGGCTCAGTGTCCTGTGATAGTGTAGGTTTTGCTGGAAACCTGAAGAGAAATGCACGTGGATGCCCTAGCACACAGAAGGCTCTAGATTTGAGAGGCAACTTGTATAATTATTAGACAGGGGCTGAGCTCAAGAACCTAACCTCCATTCCCTCCACCTCACCATGCCTCCTTCAAAGTGGTTTTCCCAACACACGAGCTGACTGCCAGTCCTCAGTGAGGGAGCTCTCGGGGCCTCCCTGGGGTCCACCATCAGAATTCTCAAACTTTTCCGCGAAAGTGTCCCTAACAAGAGTGAATGCATGCCTCAGAGCCGCACAGGTGAAATTTCCTTTAAGTCCCTCATTCCGTCTTGAAAATTCATGAGAATTAGGGGCACCTGGCTGTAGAGCATGAGACTCTTGATCTCGGGTTGTGAGTTCAAACCTCACATTGGGTGTAGAGATTACTTAAAATCTCTTTTAAAAAAGTCATGTAAATTTGTGTATCTTAATTTGTAATGTAGTCAGGCTTGTTTAATATAAGTATATTATTTTCTTTAGCTATTCAAATAAAATGTACAGTTCTAGGAAGTTGTGGGGAGAAGGAGAATGGACAGTGAGGAAGAGTCAGGAGGACTTGACCCCTCACATCCGAACCCTTGTTTCATTCTCCCCATAATTTTATAAGGTAGAAACTTTTTAAAAAAATCTTTATTTATTTGTTTGAGAGAGAGAGAGAGAGAATGTGAGTGGGGGGAGGAGCAGACAGGGAGGGACAAGAAGGGGGAAAGAATCTCAAGCAAACTCCGTGCTCAGCTTGGAGTCCAACGTGGGGCTCAATCCCATGACCTGAGCCGAAACCAAGAGTCCAAAGCTTAACTGACTGAGCCACCCAGGCGCCCTGAGGTAGAGACTTTTAAAAAAGAATTAAAACATTACAGCCAGTACAAAGCAGAATGTGAGCATTCCCCACAGGGCAACTCCCTAAAAGAAACCCTCTTGAACAGCGTTCGCGGCATCTCCCTTTCCACTGGCCTTGCGTGTTGTTGGACGTCCCTGCCCCTTGGAGTCCATGAGGTGTGTCTCGATTTTACAGTCACTCACAGATACTGTCCCTACCCTGTCGAAGGAGAGCAGCAGTGTCCTGCCCAGAACCCATTCTGTTAACTCAGTATAAGCTTTGGCCTCAAGTTAGCTCTGTCAGAGACCAAGAGAAGTGAGAGGAGGGACACTTGCTTCTTCAGGCTCTTGCCAGATCTTTATTTTAGAAGTAGCTGAACCTGATGGGAACGTGCTGTCCAGGGGTTCGTGAGCTGGTAGCCAGCTACTCAGGGGTCAGTGTGCATAAAGAGAGGAGGTGATGTGGACTTCGGTTCAGAGCCTGGTGGGGAGAGGGTGGAGCTGGATGTCATGCCATCTGGGACCCCTGCCCTGTAGAGGAGGGGCTGGGATTGGAAAGAAGCTACGGGCAGGTCAGTGACCTGCTTGCAATGGGGGCTTCCAAGACTCAAGTCCTGAGGACAAATGAAGCACAGGGTTGGGATGAAGGTCTATTTTCCGATGTCTACAGTGCATCTGGGGCTTCAAGAAGGAAGGCACTGCTCCCGGAGATCCTGGCCAAAATGGCCTCGAGTGGCTTCATGGGCAGCAGTCAACAGTGAGGGGCCAGGCAGGAGGGCCTGAGAGCAGAGACTGTTCTTTCACACAGAGAAGTCTCCATCAATACCCAGCAGGAGCTTTCCAGGGGATGCCAGGGCCCAGGCAATGGGCCAGTATAACTGAATGTTAATGCTTATGTGGCCTAATAAGTATTCACATCCAGGGAAGGCTTGACGAAATTCAGTTTAGGGAAGAATTCTGTCGAGCATTTAATCATGGGATCTTTTTTGCCTATATATGTTCTGAAGACATAACCAAAAAGGAACAAACTGGAACTTATACGTGGAATGAATTTGCCCTTTCAAAGTGGTACCTCAGGAGGTTATGCACACATTCTAAGATGCTCATGATGTTTGCAGAAATGATCTTTGGGAAGCGACTTCAGAGCCATCTTATGAGTGAGACCTCGGAGTCAGCTGGTTTGATCACTCAACTTATTCTTCAGTCTTGTCTTTGAATAATTTTTGATTCCAAAGATAAAATCGTTCATCAAATGATTACCCTTTTTTACCAAGTCTGTTTCTCTATAGACTGTAAATTTCTTAAACCAATAGAGTATGTCTGGTTCATCTTTGGCTACACAAGACCTGGCCAGGCACTTGAAAAATGCTTGATCAATATTTAGGTCTGTGCTTGTTCACTCCACTCCATAGGCCTATTTCTGCCACTGTTGTGTCTTGGACACACTGCAGACATCAAAACATTTGACTTCTATTCTCAGGTGGCTTTTGGTATTAAATAGTTAATATTTATTCCAGAAAAGGAAGGGTTGTTCTAAATCTGCACCCACCAAAACCCACAGTAGAAATGCCTTCTGGAATGAGCATCAACAACATAGCTTTGTCTGTTGGTTGACGTCACAGAGAACAGTCTGTCACCATTTTTCCCTATGTTGCTTTTCTTTTGGGGGGCATAAAGATGAAAAATCACAGCTCTGGGAGCACACAGAACAGAGAGCTGGCACTCGAGGGATTGATTATGTATTCACTTATTTATTATAATTTTTTAAAAAATGGCCCAGCTGCATCAGCTTACACAAGCTGGGCTGAAATATTTCACTCGATAGTATTCTCATCTGATGGTTATAATACTGGGTGATTTAATGCAAAGGTTTTATAACCCTAGAAGGAGAAAATCAAAATTAAGTTAAAAAATAATGTTAGTGCTTTGAACTGAGATTCAAACATTCAAGTATTTTCAAGAAATGGCCACTACCTTGCTCTCCCTTCCCTGTGAGTTGATCCATAGTAGCCACACTCTCCAGTAGTACAAGTGGAAACCAGCTCACCTGGGAGAATTTTCCAGTTGCTCACATGTGTCTGTCACTTGTTCACTTGTACCTTGTAAAATGGTCCCAGGTGATTCTGATGCAGACCTGTGGTTGAGAATATGTGATCTATAGCCATCTGACCGCTGCTGCCCTGTTATTTCTCCTTATTATGCCTGATAAGTTATGTTTTGGTTAAATGATGGACTAGCTCAACTCTAACTGTCTCAGATAAAAGGAGGAACTCATTGGCTTGTGTAACTGGAAAGCTCAGGGGTGGTTTTGGTACAAGACGTTGCTTGATTCAGCTACCCAAATGGTGTAAAGATCAGGCTTCTCTCGTCTCTTGGCTTGGCCCCCTCATGTTGGTGCTTTTCTCAGACAGCCTCTTTTGTGAAGGCAAGATGGCTGCTAGCTGCTCTGGTTTCATAACTTCCAACTCTATTGGAAAATTAGCCTCTATTTATCAACTGTTGGAATAAAATTCTGTGCTCTGACTCCCCTTGGTCCACTTGGGGTCCCGAGTATCCATCTCTTCTGTACCAGGTAGGATTCATTTGTAGAATATAGAAGCCACTCTAGATATTTAAAGCAGAGAGAGATTTAATTCCAGTACTGAGTGCTTGCAAAATTGTTGGATAGTTTGAAGGAGTGAGTTTTGTTTTATTTATTTATATTTTATTTTATTTATATTTATTTATATTTTATTTATTTATTTATAATGGTAGCACTAGGGTTTATTAAGCTACAGTTTAGTATGGGATCTGGGGCTTGCCCATGGTGCTCTGAATGTATAAAGCCTGGACGTTCTGCCAATTCTTCTTGAGCAGTGACACCAGGAAATTGGCAGCCAACTGTATGTTGTACACAAGCTCGTCATCTGTCATCTCGTGGCCATCAGCCACCGCCAGATACAGCACCTTCTTCATCTGGAATTTGATTGTGGACTTTACTTCATCCACTCTGGCTGCCATGTTCTCATTGTGGGTCAGCAAGGAGGGGAACTTGCCAGTGTAGTCAGGCCTGGGCCCAAGATTTGTGGGATCTGCTTGATCGGAGATTCTGAAGCCAAAGAGGCATCATACTTCTTGGCTAGCTTCTTGACTAATGTTTTATTCTTACTGAGTTTCTTCAGTGCCTCAATGTCCATGTGGGGAATATCCATAGTCTTGGCCTCATCATAGTGCTGCTGGTCCCCCAAAACACAAATGGGGCAGGGAGTGGACTTAAGCCTGACAGTACCTCAGAAGGGTTTGTCCTTCTGACAGTCATAGTTCTTCAGGCTGATCCGTCTTCAAGCTCCACTGTGTGAAAGAGTGAGTTTTAGATCGAAGCTTTAGAAATGACTCCCACAACACAGCAGAACTAACTTGGCTGGGGAGAGCTATGACTCTTGAAACACTAAGGAAGGAAGGGGAATCAGGAGGCCACCATGAGAACAGTTGAATTCAAGACCACATGTCGTATTTGTGATTTGGGGATCAGGAGG